ATCTGGGCGGTGTCAGTCACGGCGCTGCCCCGCTCGGCCGCCGCCCTGGCCGGTGCCCCGGGCGGGAGCGGCGCCGGCCCGGCCGCACAGGGCTCGGGGCTGCCCGGGCCCTGCCGCGCTCTGCCGGCCTCGGGCCCCGGCGGGGGCGTTTGCTTGTTTCTGGCCGCGAGCCGGATGCGTGGTTTGCCTCTGTTGTCGTAAAACCCCCGATCGATCGTACGCCCGGGGCAGCGTCATGTGCCCGGCGTATTTTCAGGAAGAAATTCCTGGCGGAATCGGTGCTTGGATGCTGGGGGCAGGGAGGAGGCGGTGGAGGCATCACCGCTGGGGTGCTCGGTGCCCGGCTGGGCTCGGGTCCTGGCCCGTCATTCTGCGCTCCCCGCTGGGCGTGTGTCCGTCGTTCCGTCCGTCGTTCCGTCCGTCACTCCGCGAGGGTTCCTCTCCGGGGTGCTGCCCTCCCTGGCAGCCCGTGGGCTGTGTGTGAGCGTGCCCTCGCGGGTGATGAGCGTCACCCGAATTGCAGCAGGCGTGCTGGGAGGATGCGCTGCGAGGAGAGCAGCGACATCGCCGGCCAGCCCCGTGCCCCCGCCGGCACACCCGTGTCCTTCCCGGGGAGCTGAGCTGTGCTCTCCCACCGACACATCCCTGCCCTTCCCTTTAGCCTCTGCTCCCCCTGGCACATCCCTGTCCCTGTCCTTCCCAGGAGCACAGCCCTGCTCTCCCCCTGGCACACCCCTGTCCTTCCCTGAGAGCTGAGCTGTGCTCTCCCGCCGGCACACCCCTGTCCTTCCCGGGGAACAGAGCCCTGCTCCCACCGGCACACCCCTGCCCTTCCCGGGGGGAGCAGGGCTCTGCTTCTCCCACCGGCACACCCCTGACCTTCACTGGGAACAGAGCCCTGCTCCCACCGGTACATCCCTGTCCTTCCTAGGGAACAGAGCCCTGCTCCCGCCGGCACATCCCTGTCCTTCCTAGGGAACAGAGCTCTGCTCTCCCACCGGTACATCTCTGTCCTTCCCAGAAGCAGAGCTGAGCTCTCCCCCTGGCACATCCCTGCCCTTCCCTTTAGCCTCTGCTCCCACCGGCACATCCCATCCCTGTCCCTCCCAGGAGCCCAGCTCTGCTCTCCCCCTGGCACATCCCTGTCCCTCCCAGGAGCAGAGCCCTGCTCTCCCCCTGGCACATCCCTGTCCTTCCCAGGAGCAGAGCCCTGCTCTCCCCCTGGCACATCCCTGTCCCTCCCAGGAGCACAGCCCTGCTCTCCCCCTGGCACATCCCATCCCTGTCCTTCCCAGGAGCACAGCTCTGCTCTCCCCCTGGCACATCCCTGTCCCTCCCAGGAGCAGAGCTGAGCTCTCCCACCCACAGCCTGCTCTGCGCTGGCAGTGACTCAGGGCTTCTCTCTTCCCCCTGCCTTGACTCGCTCACGAGTGCAGGGCTTTGGGTGCCTGTGCCATTTGTTGCCTGGGAGGTGGTTAAATACAAGAAAAATGCTGTCAAAGAGTTCCCTGGATACTTCAGAAATTTCTTTCTTCCTTTACATTTTTTCTAACCCCCCCCAAGAAACAATTCTTGTTGAGGAAAGATTTGTTCCTGTTGAGTGGAATTGTTCCTGGTGGCCTTTCCAAGGTCAGTGTTTTGTTAGATATGAGCAACTGTAAGAGGAAGAAGCTGTTCTGAGGCAGAAAAGAGACTGGGAAGATTTTAGATATTTTGGAAGGGGCTGCCCAGGAAAGTGGTGTGTAGCCATGATATTTTATGAAAAATCCTTTGCTAGGATTTTTCTCCTATTCTAGCTGAGAAGCCTCAGAAAAGGAATGTAAACAATAACTATCTGATGGCTGTGGAGTGTGCTCTGGACATTGTTTACCAACAGATGCATCTTGGATTGGTCCATGTGAGTTATTTCTATTTAATTACCAATCAAAGATCCAGCTCTGTGGACTCTGAGAGTCACGAGTTTTTATCATTCCTCTTTTTTTCTTTTTAGCTTTCTGATGGATTTTTCTCTCTATTCTTTTAGTATAGTTTTTGTATAGCATTTTAATATAATACAATAAATCAGCCTTCTGAAACATGGAGTCAAGATTCTCATCTCTTCCCTCACCCTGGGACCCTCGAACACAACCACAGTGGTGGGGTCCCCATCCATCCCTGGAGGTGTTCAGGGAGCTCCTGGATGTGGCACTCAGTGCTCTGCTTGACAAGGCAGTGATTAGTCACAGGCTGACTTGGTGATCTCAGGTCTTTTCCAACCTGAATGATTCTGTGCTTCTACATTTGTTTCTTTAAATGTCATTTTGATGTGTTTGCAGCGTGGCTGCACACTCAGGCTGGTGGATGGTGCCAGTGAACTGAGACTGCACAGGATGTGGCAGAGGTGGGTGAGGAGTGTGGGTCTGGGATAAACAGTGCTAGGTCTGCCCTGGAGGACATCCCTGGCCTGATTCCTGGCTGGGCTGTGCATTTCTGTATTGTTGTTGAGACTGCACAGGATGTGGCAGAGGTGGGTGAGGAGTGTGGGTCTGGGATAAACGTGCTAGGTCTGCCCTGGAGGACATCCCTGACCTGATTCCTGGCTGTGCATTTCTGTATTGTAAATACGTGGAGGCAGAGCCCTGAGAAGATTCAATAATTTAATTAAACTTGTCACTGGGAGTCCCAGAAGTGAAGGAAGAGTTCAGAGGCAGTGTTTGAGTCAGTGTTTGAGTCACCTTCCTTCCTCTTCAGGCGAAAACCCTCCCTTTTTTCTCTGACTCTTTAGAGTTTGCAGATACGTAAGATAGTTCCTCATTGGGTGGAGAAGGACAGAGAAGAGAAAGGAAAACAAGAAAGTGGAGAGAAAGCACGGGACTGATGATGGCTGTGACCTTGGTGTCACAAGGAATCTTGTCTCTGGAGACGCTGCTGGCAGCAGACTGCCAAGAACTGCAGCAACAAAGCACACTTTATGCCCTCAGTCCATTACATTGGTTTTTGGGGTGCCAGGAAAGGCAGACTGCAGGAAGGAAATGGTATTTTTGCAGCCCTTGATGTTTGTGGCACCGCAAACCTAATCAAGATAAACGGGGGAGTGTTCACAAGCTGCCTCACTGCTGTGCTGCCCTGAGCCCGGGCAAGCCAGACCCATCAGAGCAGACTTTTCATGATGTGCTCTTGTCCCTCCAGGGCTCTTCTGTCCCCACAGCTCAGCGGAAGGTTTTGCTGGTCCTTTCTGCTGATCAACACGGAGTTTGGGGGGTTACTTTCAATATTCTGTTTGATTTTCTGTTAATATTCTGTTCAGAGCCCCTCTCTGCTGGGGGCTGGTCTGGGATCCATTTTAGGAGGCGTTTTTCAAATCCATTTTACCCTCCCAGCATTGGTAGAACTTCAGAGCTGTAAAATCAACAGAATTCAGTCCTTTTGGCAGAAACCCTGCAGAGTGCTTTTCCCCTGGAATTCCTTGGTCACTGTGTGGTGTCCAGAAGCATGTCACCCTCTGGCCACCGCCCAGGAGGTGTCACTGGGCTGGTTTGGATTGCTGGGGTGGCAGGGAGGCCCAGGGGACACGGAGCTGTCCCTGGTGCAGGCTGTGTGCCACAACCTCCCAGGTAAGCCATTGCTGCTGCCTGGGGTGCCCTGGTGTTCCTCGAGGCTTAACCTGAAAGCAGCAGAGCTGGGGAAGGTGGAGGTGGCTGGGTGATCTCCAGAGGGGTCTGGAGAAGGTGGAGGTGGCTGGGTGATCTCCAGAGGGGTCTGGAGAAGGTGGAGGTGGCTGGGTGATCTCCAGAGGGGTCTGGAGAAGGTGGAGGTGGCTGGGTGATCTCCAGAGGGGTGCAGGTCCTCCCAGCCTGGTGTGGGTGAGGATCAGAGCTCCTGCTGCCACCACACCTCACCAGCTTGCCCAGGAGGGAGCAGAGACTGGGGCAGGGACAAGCAAATCCTTCCCACAGGCTGAATCTCCTTGTCAGTTTGCTGTTTGCTCCTGTCTGTGTGGATTCATCCCTCTGGAGTTCCTGGGTGCAGAGCTGGGAGCAAATTGTCCCCGTGCTCAGGCCAGGGTGTTCTGGGACATGCCCAGGAGCCTTCCCTTCACCTCTGCAGGTACTGAACCTGCAGCAGGAGCACCAGCCTCTCCGTTTTTAGTCACTTCAGTGGGGTTACTTGGGAAGGAGTAGAGGTCAAATGTCTGGAACTTCCCATGTTTGTGAAAGCAATAAATGGTTTTAAATAGAAAATTCTGATACTTCTGGTAGTCGTAGGTTGATTTCTGAGAAGAGACTTTTTGCATCAGTGCCTTTCTTCTGGTTTCAAGGCTTCTAACCCAGTGCTGGCTCACTCTTCAAGGGTTTTCCTGTGACTGGATATCAAATATTCACCAGACAGATGAGTCTTGGCCATGTGGTGTAGAGCAGACATGTTCTATTTGATTAATGAGGCTGTTGAGATAACAAGGCTTTGCTGTGTGGTGTTTGGTTTATCTTAAAGGCTTTCCTGAATTTGGCACCAAGTTCTGCAGGTAGGGTTGGTTATCTCCTGCCTCCCGTGCTGCCCAAATTGGAAGTGCAGGATTTATTATTGCAGCAGAGCGAGGAGCATTGTGCTGATGCTGTGCTCGGTGACTTTCTCCTCTTCCTGAAAGCTCCCGTGCTGCTGTTGTAGGAGAGAAGGAGGCGTTTGTTGTGGTTCACTCGAGAACATTCAGTTCAAAAATAGAACTGCAGGAGAAGGTTCACTTCCCAGAGGTTCAGTTTCATCCCAGCGATGGATGCAGGCACACATCCAAGCGCGGATGGAAATCCGCCGGCTCCCGTTCCAGCACGGGCAGAACAAGCCCAAATTGATTGGTGAAATCTGATCTGGGGCTTCTGCTTGTTTGTTTTCCATCTTCCAATGAGACAGTGCACGTTTGCTCTGAGTTCTGGCTGAAGTGCTGGGGTTACCTTGCCGTGAGTCTTGGTTGGGTTTGCGAGGGGAAAATCAAGAGCTTCAGGAGCTGGAGGTTACCTGTTGGTCCTCGTGGTCTGAGAAGGTGAAGAATGATGGAAACAAGATTTCTTCTGCTTTTCTGCCCGTGAATCAGCAAAAAGGGGGAAGAGGAAGAAGAGCTGGCAGTGGACAGCCAGTCCTTCCTGCTGTGCGTGGCAGCTCTGGAAGGTGCCAGCGTCGGTGACGGCGTCATTGCCTCCGAGAAGGGGGACTGGCAGCCAGCAGGCACTTGGGCATTTGGTGATAGCCACAGTGGGCTGTTATCTCGAGAGCTGAAGGCCACATGTGAGCTTGGCAGAGCTTCTTGATCAAGTCCTGTTTGAGCTGTTTGCCTGTTAATTCCAAAGGTCGGTGGACATTTGTGGTGCCTTGGAGGGAGGGGGGATCAGCCAAGCGTGGCTGGGGGAGGTCAGCCCTGTGGTTGGTCCTGTTTGAGTGGCCTTGCTTTGCTTCTGCTTAATTTTTCATGTTTGGTGAAAATCTTGGGCAAATGGGTTTGCGAGGAAGAAAGCAGAAAAATGTGCAGAAAACCTGTTCATGAAGATCAAATAGTACTCTTTATATGGCAGTATTTATGGGCCGGTTTTAAATGGGGAAGTGAGAGGTGATTAAAATGAGGAGGAATTCTTTCTGCGGCCACTTGAGATGCTGCAGGTACATCTGGGGTGAATTGCAGTGCTCAGAGTCATCCCTGCCATGACGTGTGAGGGGCTGAGTGACTTGGAGAGCAGGGAGGAGTGGATTCCCCACGGAGGGAAGGGGTGGCTCCCAGCTGGGAGCCGTGTTGGATTTCAGGCTGTGTTTTGGTCTTGGATTTCACCCCGAGCTTTGCTGCAGTCTCCTGTCACATGGAGAGCCTGGGGAGCTTGTTTAAGGTACTGTCTTACACTTCAAGCTGTGGTGTGCTTTCATGGCTTAGGTGAAGGATGGCTCCAGAGAGGTTTGGGGTTGGCCTTGAATGCAGGTTGCTTAAATTACTTGAAAAATCCTGTCTGGATGTTACTTTGGTTGTTTCTGGTGCATTCTGAGCCTCTGGCTCTCGTGATGTCTGCAGGATACTGCTCCTGTCGTTTTAAGGATGCTTTTGAGGTGGGAAAACAGATCTGTCCTGTACAAACCCCCCTGGATTTAGACAAGTTCTTAACCTCCACAGTGTGTTTTTTTAGAGTCATTGCAGCGTGGAGAAGCTCTTTCCTTTTCACAGTGGAGAGCTGCTGACTTTGTTGGGGGGGCTTGAAAGGAGCCCCGGTGTTTTGAAGGTAGTTCTTGTCTGGGAGCAGCTTTGGAGCTGGAGCTGTGCCCACGGAGCTGTGTTTTCCCAGGGCACTGTGTGAATGCTAAGCTGTGTTGGAATGAATTTGAGTGGGCAGCAGCCTAAGCCTGCTCTCATTTTCCCTGGAAGACGCTGCTGCATTGTCTTGTCTGCTCCCTGAAAGGCTCAGTGTTGTTTGTCAAAGGCTGGATTCTGCAAGTGCCACGTATGCAAAGAAGCCCTGAATAGGAAGGACTGGCCGTGCTGGTTCCCAGCTCCTGACAGAATTCCTGGGGCCAGGACAACAGGCAGCAGGCTGAGGCAGAGCAGGGTTTGTTAAACTCTTGGTATTCCGTGGGCATCCGCGCTCCCACACACGAGATGTGTGGGGTTGCCTGCCTGTGCTCTGATAACTCCTGGGATTTGCTCTCAGCTTGCACACTCCCTGTTTCTGTGCATCATTCTGGGGGAGCGGGCAGAGCTTGGCAGAGTGAGGGATTTTCCCATGGCCACGTGTGTGCTGGGAGCAGGTCTGGAAGTGGCAGCATCTCCCCTCTCCCAGGCTGAGATTTTGGCACTGTTTGCAGGGTGGCTGTGTGCTCTGGTCCCCGTGTCCTGCCCCTCGTGGGGGTCCAAGTGACAAAAAGCAGGGTGTGGGTGCTGGAGCTGCAGCAGGGCTTTGTGCAGGACTGTCAGCAGATCCCAAATCCCTGCTGATGCCTTTAGGGATGGTGGGACACATGGAGCAGGGGCAAGCATGACCTTGCACCCCCTCACCAAGCAGGATGAGAGAGCTGGGGAGGATCTGGGTGGGTTGGGAAGGAAGAACTCCTGCCTGAATTCCTGAACCAGCACTGGGCTGAATCTCCTCCCTCCAGTGTGTGGAAGGAAAAGGTGCTGGACAAGGAGTGGGGGGCAAACCCACCTCCTGTCCTTGGGAGCCCCAGGCAGCTCTTCCTGTCCTGCACAGGCTGCTGTGCTTGCAGGGATCCCTCAGATGTTGATTTCCAAGGGTGTGCCCCGTGTGAGCAGACAGGAAGGAGTCTTGTGCCTTATCTCAGCTACTTCTAGGAAATGATGTAAGACACTTCCCTGTACACGCTTTTTTCTAGCCACATCCTGAATTTTACTGACAGCCCGCTTGGCTGCTCACCTTTTGAGCCCAGCTGCTCCTGAGCTGTGGAGCTGAGCCTGGGTTGTGCTTTATCTGGTTTATTCTGGGGTGGATGTGCTCCCTGCTGCCCTGAGCCTCTCTAGTGTGCCGGTTTAGAGCTGGTCAGGGATTTGTGGCAGGGTTGGATCAGTGCCTGACAAGTGCTGGGGACAGCACCAGCAGAGCCCTGTCCTGGCAGTGGGAATCACAGTCCAGGAGCTGCTGGGCACAGCTGAGCTGTGTCAGGTGTCTGCTCCGTGGAACTGCAGCACGTGGGGCAGGAATACTGAGCTCCACATCCACAGGCTCTGCACAGGGCTTGGGATTTGTCCCTGTGGAGTGACTGAGCTGCCTTGGTAACGGCTGATGCAAGCATTCCCAAAGAAAACCCTGCCTGAAATTTGTGATGGGAGCGGCTCCACAGGTACTTCTCATTTTCTCAGTGCAGGAGAGGAAACGCCATCCTTCTCCTGAGCCGTGGCATGTTTGCTCCTGCAGCAAAGCTGCAGTTAAATGAACACAGAGATTGGAGGTGCTTTTGAGGTGCTTGGCTCTCTCTGGGTCGGTTTGCTCTTGGCCTGTGGCAGCTGCAGGCTCAGCTGGAGAGCCAGTGTGCCAGTTCTGCCTGGCTGTGCTTGGCCTGGCTGCCCTCTGACGAAAGCATGGGATTGTTCTGGCCCACTTTGAGGTGTCAGAAATGTGGGTCACTGAGATACAGAACACATTAGCATGACAGTTTTAGCCTGAAGGGACAGAGTTGGCTGGGAGCTGATGGCTGTTAGAGCCAGGGCTTGTAGGTCAGCTCTTCTGATCAATGGTGCAGGCGTTGTTCACAGCCTCTGCTTGGAGCCTGGGTTCACCCCCTTCTTTTTTGGGGTGCTAAGGACAGAATTTGAGGCTTGGCTTTTTGAGGAAAAATAAAAATAAAAAGCCTTAAAGAGCTGTGGGATTGCCTGGGGAGGGCTCAGCAATGGTTCATCTCCTGGTCTGAGCATTCTCCTGGTCCTGCTCTGCATTTTGTCTCCTTCATCACCCCTTGGACCTGGCCTGTGCTGAGGCTCCTAATGTCTTGTGTCCCCTAGCTCATATAAAACCATAAAAATCATACCAAAGGTGTGTTGGGTTGTGTTTCTGGTGCTGGCTGACAGCCTGGGGAGGTCCGAGAAAGCAGGATCCTCGTGGAGATGGGATCTGTAGTGCCTTGGTGTGGGAAACTTCTCTGAACACCTCCGGGCTGGGAACCCTCCTCTGTGACGTGACCACGTCATTTCTGGGAGAGGCTGCTCTTCCTCTGGCTGCCCGAGGCAGCAGGGCTGCCTGGATAATCCCTGTTACCTGCACGGTGGGAATTAGCCAGGGCTTGCTGCAGGAGGAATAAGCTGAGTTTTGAGTGCACACAGAGCTGGTTGTGGTTCTCTCACTTGCAGTGTCCATCTCACCTTTGCAGCTCTGACAGCAGCTGTAGTGCAGTCACTGTGTGGTGGCAGGAGGCAGAATCTCTTCAAAACACTTCATGAGGTAAAGTGGACACTGACAGCTGCAAATCTGAGTGTGTGACCAGCTGTGGGCCTGAGAGGGCTTGTGGCACCGCTGGAGTTTTGTGGCAGCTACAAAATACAACCAGAGCTTCTGCTCTCACTTCAGGCTGCTCCACAAGCCCGTGCAGAGGCTGGGTAAAATCCTGGGGCTGGCTGGGGCAGGGCTGTGTGCTGGGTGAGCCCTGGAGGCACTCCTGGCATCCTGGGTGCCAAGTCCTGGTGCCTGAAAAGGCCAGGACTGAGCAGAGGTTTGGGGTGGTCTGCCCAGGTTTGTGCTGAGTGTATCCCTGTGCTTGTGTCCTGCAGGTCGTGTTGATCATGGACAGTGAAGAAATCCCTACTTTTTCGAGTCCAAAGGAGGAAACTGCCTATTGGAAAGAGCTTTCCTTGAAGTACAAGCAAAGGTATTGTGGATTTGCAAGCTGAACGTGGTTCTTGATGACCAGGATTTGGATCTTAATGATGGCTGTTTAATCTGCTCCTCTGCAAAGCCACACCAAGATGGTTATTAGATACTTTAGAGAAAACCTGTGAGAAGAGAATTCTCTGGAAAGGATTTCCAGCTTTAAAATTTCCATCTCTGTGGGAGCTGAGTGTTTCTTGCCCAGTGTCAGCATGCCAAGCACTGCAGGCTATGTTTTGAGCATGTTTGAGCAAGAGCAGAGCCTTTTTAAGATCATGTGCACCTTTGTGTAATTAAAGTGCTGCCTTGAGTGGTATCTTGATGTTTTATCATCAGAAGGCGCCTTTGGGCCTGCCTTGTATCATTCCTGTTCCCTCAAGCTTCTTGGAGTGGAGTTACTGGTATGAGAAGTGCCTGATTTGGTGTCTGCTGCACTTTGTTCAAGGGTTCCACAGCTCCTGGTCCTGCCTGTACCCGTGGTTTGCATCTCTTGGGGCACACAGGGCTTTGGCACCCAGAGAAGCTGCAGCTGCTCTCTGGAGCCATGCTGTGCATCTGGGGGGATTGGGGTGGGCTGAGCTGGTTTTGGAGTTAAATCCCTCTCAAGCCCCAAGAGCCCAAGGTCCTGGTGGCTTTTTTTGTTTGCTATGGGGTTTTTGGGAGGGAGGTGTTGGGAATGTGGAGGGGCCTGTCCTTGTGGAGAACCCGAAGCTGTTCCTGCGTGTCAGAAATTCCATCTGAGGCACCACTGGATGTGTTGTTGCCCAAAGCCTCGGTGGTTTGCTCTGCTGCTTGCTCAGGGCTCAGCTATTACGTGTGGTAAAGATGCAAATTTAATAAGCAAAGTATGTGGGGTGGCTACTTCTGGTATTTAATAACTGACAGTGGTATGAGGTAGGCATGTCCTGCCTTCCTGACTCTGCATGATTTTTACAAACTTGAATTTCCCAGCTAGTGCAGAGGTGCAGAAACTGTTGCTCTCTCTTCAGCTGCTGACCAAAATCTGGTTAAATGTTTGCTTAATTCATTGTGTGTTCCATCAAGTCTGCCAGCAGTGAAAGCTAATGGAGCACAAAGTGCTCCTCAGGCTCCCTTGAATCCTGTAAATAGCTTTGATTCCACACAGGCATTCAAGGTGGCTGCTGGGTTTGATGTAAGAGAATTAATTTCCTTCAATCGCTTAGCTTAATGCAATTTCTCTATTTTCCCATTTTTCTTTTTCCCCTCAGAGGTCTATGGATGACACTTAAGTGCTTTAAAACCCCTGGTTTTCAGCTTTTTCTTTTAGGAGAGCTGCAGGTTTTGTTTGAACTTGGCTTTCCCACTGATGCAATCCTCTCCTTGCAGCTTCCAGGAGGCTCGTGAAGAGCTGGCTGAATTCCAGGAGGGAAGCAGGGAATTAGAAGCTGAGTTGGAGGCACAGCTAGTGCAGGCTGAGCAGAGGAACAGAGATTTGCAAGCAGATAACCAAAGACTGAAATATGAAGTGGAAACATTAAAGGTAGGTTTTTTTCTGTGGTAGAGTTGCTTTTCTTTTCAGCTGCGTCTTGGATCTCTTCTTGGATCGTCTGGGCTGCTCTTGGGCACTGAATATCCAAATAAAAAAGAGTTGTCTGGTTAAGATCCACACTGAAGCGTGGCATGTACCCCAAATAAGGCCAGGGACATTTCTGGCAGAATTTTTCTTGTTCACGTCATGAAAGTTGGTCCTGGAGTTTGTGCTGCTTTGGATTCCCCAGGCTGTGCCAAGGAGGAGCTTTATTTGTCCCACAGGGAACGTCAGCATGGCAACAGGGCACAGCACAAGGGCTTTTGTCCGGCCCCTGCCTTGCCACCTTTCTTTGCAAAGCAGTCTTGTTGCCCTCAGGATCTCCCTGGATTCATGAGACCCCAAAGAAAGCAGAAATTGATGATTTGTGCCCATCTCTCAGGGAGCCTCCACGTGCATTCCCAGCTGTGTCTGTGGAGCAGGAATTGCTGGAGGATCTGCACATGCACAGGGTGGCTCTCAGCTGATCTCTCTGTGGAGCAGGAATTGCTGGAGGATCTGCCTCTGTGCTAACAAGTGCTTGCCTCTCTTGACATCTTGAACAAGCATCATCTTGGGCAGTCTTGGCTTATTTAGTGAAGCCAGAGATCAGAAATTCACTCAGTGGCAGGAGGGTTGTGGCATTGCTTTGTGTCTCCAGTCCCAGCTGTACCTGCAGGGTCAGGATGTGTTTCATGAGCTCAGTGCTTTCTCCACAGCCCCTCAGAGGGTTTTTGGCAGTGGGTTCCTCAGTCTGTTGGGGATGACTCTGTGGGCCCGGAGGTTTTGTGGCAGATTTCAGTGGCCCATGTTGGCCAGTGAGAGTTTCTGCTCTCGGGTGGCTGCTGTCAGGGCAGGAGCACGGAGGGCAGGCTGTGCAGCTGGGTTTCTCCCTGCCTGCCTTCTGGAGCAGCTGTCAGTGTGGCTGAGGGCAGCAATGAGGGCTGCATCCCTGAGAGGCAGCTGTGCCAGGGGACATGGTGGCTGCCTCTGTGCTGTGGCCAGTCTGAGGCTCACAGCCTGCTCCCTCTCCCTCTCCAGTTCCTGCTCTCAATTACCAGCAGTCCCACACCAGCATGCTGCACACAGAGTGACACTTCTTGTCCCCTTTTCGTGCTGATGGCTTGGCCAGTGCCAGCAGCTGATGTTTATCTCCCTGTCCTTTGTTTCAGGAGAAACTGGAGCACCAGTATGCCCAGAGTTACAAGCAGGTGTCGTTGTTGGAGGATGACCTGAGCCAGACAAGGGCCATCAAAGATCAGCTGCACAAGTATGTGAGGGAGCTGGAGCAGGCCAACGATGACCTGGAACGTGCCAAGAGGTGAAGGCTGCAAACCTCCTCTTCCCTTCAACACTGCACCACAAACATCTTTCCTTTGCTACTCAGCTCGAGCGTTTCACTGTTCCTTAAAGGGAAAATATCAGAAAATCCCCAAGCACCCCAGGGCTTTGGATTGCTTGGGCAGTGCAGTTGCCCCTCATCAGCAGCTGGTTCCTGGTGCAGCAGGAGGGGCAGTGTGGTTTGTGCTGCTGTGAGGAGCAAGGCCAGGGCCAGCCAGGCCACTGCTGGCCCGTGGTGTCCCCAGCCAAGTGGCTGACACCTCAGAGCCCCTTTGAAGTCAGAGTCTCCTGCTTTCCACAGTGCTGTTCAATCACAGGCCAGAGGAGTGTCGTGGTGCCCTGCAGAGCAGCTGCAGGGAGCAGCCCTGCCCTTTCCAAGGGCTGCAGTGAGCAGGGAGCACCCCGGCTGGGAGGAGGCCATGCTTCCCTTCTGCTGAGTGGGAATGCTGCCACTGATTCAGGGAGAGCAGGAATGAGCCTCTGGCCATCTGGAAAAAAGGTCTGAGAGCTGAGCCCTGTTTGCACAAGGCTCTTAAGCTCGTGGCTAACTTTTACTCTGGTTTTGGGAGGAATTGGGTGTTGGGTCATGTCCCAAGGTGCTGCCCACCTTGCAGAGCCTGGAGCCAGGCCCCAGCTGAGATTAATGCTCAGCTTGGGAGCAGGGCTGGGGGAAAAAGGAGCTCTGGGCTGGCTCTTTGCCACATCCTTGGGACATCTCTGAGAGCCAGGTGCTGTTGTGTTCTTCTCATCTTTTCCTCCTGTTTCTTTGATGACTCCTTTCTAAGAAGCATTTCCATGGCTTTCAGATGCTTTCCTTGAACACAGTCCTGCTAACATTTTCCTTCTGTTATGCTTTTGAATAAGCTTTTATGCTGGCTGAGCTGAAGAACCTAATATTCTGGATTTTGTTTCTAGGGCAACAATAGTTTCATTGGAAGACTTTGAACAAAGGCTGAACCAAGCTATTGAGAGAAATGCATTTTTAGAAAGTGAACTGGATGACAAGGAGTCATTGCTGGTCTCTGTACAGAGATTAAAGGATGAAGCAAGAGGTATGGCTGGTCTGGTTGGTTCTGCCTCCTGGTGCAGGGTTGGTTTGCTGAAAGAGATGTGCAGCAAGCCCAGCTCATGTTTCTGGAAAGCCTCACATGATGAGACTTGAACTGCATGCTTTAGGTCTTACTAACAGTGTGTTCTTTGTGTGTCCAGTGTAGCCAGAAAGAAAAACTTCCTCATTTAGAGCAGAATTAATAACTGATGGATTCAGGATTTTTAACACAAAAATACTCTGTTCCACAGATATAAGAGAATTGAGGAAGTTGCTTCACAAGTTCCTCTTCCTGTGGGTTTATGGGAAGGGAAAGCACAGGGAATGACAGGGAAATACAGGAAAAATTATCCAGCAACTCTTAAAAGAAATCTCCTGTGTTCCTTCTAAGCCCCTTGCAAATTGCCTTAAGTATATTATTTAATATGTTCTGGTAAGGCTGTGTTTAGACCTGTGGGAGGTGTTTGGGATGGTGTTCTGGGATGAGATCAGGAGCTGGGCATTCCCCCGTGGAATCACACTGAGCATGCTGGGGAAGCATTTTAATGGTGCTGGAAGCTGATTTCTGTAACAGTGGAGGTGATCTGCTCCCAGCCTGTGCCAGCCAATAATGGCTTTAGAGACTGGTGATGTGCACCTTTGCTCCCTAAATGAAGCTTTCTAAAATATTTCCTCATGTAAGGAGCTCAGTGTAAGAACACACCTGACAGCAGGCTGGGATTTTTTGTTGTGTTTCTCCTTTATGAACCTTTTTGAAGCAAGTCTGTGCCCCAGAAATTGAGAGCTTTATTGGAAGCACAGGGACTTTGAAATAAATGTGAAGAAATTTTCTGAGGAAGTATATGTATTGTAATGTGAGATTAGGGCAATAAAACTGGGAAAAGCAGCAAAAGGCAGGGGACTGTTTTCCAGAACACTGGAACAATCAGCAAAACAGATATCTTGTTTCTTAGATGAGTCATTTGGACATTTTTAGCATTTGTGAGTTATTCCCCCTGGCAGCAAGCAGGAGCCTCTAAAAGAACTGGTACTGTCCAACTCCAGTCTGACATTTCTGACTGAGCAGCCTCAGATCCTCTTCTGGGAGCCCAGACAGATTGTCACTTCAGCTCTGCTGTTTTACCTAAAATCAGCTCTAAACATTTGTTACAGCTGAAAAGCTGTGATGTGCAGTTAATTTTGCTTTTGTACCAGATTGAGGGAAAGAATAAGAGGTCTGTGAAAGTGCAGCTGCTCTGCCCAAAAAGGAACAACTCACCTGTAATGTTTGTTTGCATCTTTCTGAGGGTTTGAGAGATCCACTGCTGGGCTGTGCTGGGTGTTTTTGTAGCAAAAAGCTGTGGAAAGGGAAGGGATAAGCTGCAGTCGGGGAGCAGTGGGAATAAAGCCAGGCTTTTCCAAGGCCCAGTCCTGTGGAGTGGCCTCCAGCCTGCCCTGTTCTTGTCAGGGTGCAAGCCTTGGCCTGCCTTTGGCTCGTGTGGTTGTTAACTGGGAGGAGAACGTGGGGATTGGGAAGCACAGGAGCAGCCAGTGCTGTGTTTGAGCAGCAGCAGCAGCAGCTCTTTGTGTCCAGCTGCAGTTCTGCTGACGTGGAGCTCCCACTGCAAATGGGGAGAAATCCTGAGGGAGATCAGCTGCCCGCATCCCAGGGACAGGGAGCTGTGTGGGGCAGGCAGGGCTGTTTGCTCGGGGATGGGATAATGGGGTGGGATAATTGGATAATGGGATGGGATAATGGGATGGGATAATTGGATAATGGGATGGGGCTGCTCTGAGGGCTGCCCCCACTGCTGGAGGAGGCACTAAGCAGGATTGGTGAGAAGTGTCTGCTGCTGCCCTCCCAAATGAGCAGGGACAGTGTTTGTGAGAGAATCAATCACTAACGGGGCATTTTGTGGGGTTTTTTCCTCCTCTCACCCCTCAGACCTGCGGCAGGAGCTGGCTGTGAGGGAGAGGCAGCAGGAGGTGACCAGGAAATCAGCACCCAGCTCCCCCACGCTGGACTGTGAGAAGATGGATTCAGCTGTCCAGGCCTCTCTCTCCTTGCCAGCTACACCCGTTGGAAAAGGATCAGAAAATAGTTTTCCTTCCCCAAAAGGTACCCCCCATAGGATTGGGGTCTGGTTGTGCTCCCTAAGGAGCCAGAGGTGGGTGGGGTGTGGGTCTCCCACACTCCAGGGGTGTGCTTGCATCCAGGGCAGCAGCAGGGGCATTTCAGCAGTGAGAGCATGGCAGAGCAGTGAAGCTTGGGCACTGCCTTTGGGGGCAGGCAGGGGTTGGCACTCTGCCCTGGGCCCTGAAGATGTTTGGGAATGCAGGGGAGTGATAACTGCTCCAATGAGCAGCAGCACTGGTGGGTGAGCACGGTCAGGAACGTGGGGTCTGTCACCACCTGACTCCTCAGGGGTCCTGTCCCTGTGGGGCAGGGGGGTCTCAGTCCAGCCCCTCTTCCCTTCTGGGCACTCACAGGGACTGGCAGTGGAGGTTTCAGAGCAGGAGGGGGGTTGCAGGGGAGCTCTGCCTGCTGGCATGGATTGCAGTCAGCAGCCTTGCAGATGGAGAGGGCATGAACTCTGCCTGGGGGGGGATGCAGCCAGGGCAGTGGGCAGGAATTAAACTTTATCATTCTCCCTGCCTGGAGATCCTGAGCTACTGTGGGTAATTGTGTGACATGTCTGCAGCAAGATTCTAGATATGTTTGGGGTTTCTTTTCATCTAGAAGCTGATTTATTTAAATTTTGGAAAAACCTGAGCTGTGGAGGAGTGAGGTAATGAGAGGTGTCTGTGTTTGCAGCTATACCAAATGGGTTTGGTACCAGCCCACTCACTCCTTCAGCTCGAATATCTGCACTCAACATCGTGGGAGATCTGCTACGCAAAGTGGGGGTGAGTGCTCTGAGTCTGCCTCTGCTGGGCTCCTGGCCCTGTGCTCCAGCACAGCACAGCCTGGGCTCTGCTCTGCGTTCTGCACTGCCAAGTCATCCACTCGCTGCTTGGTACTTGATAATGCTTCGTTTTTTTAAATTATTCTGATTTTTAAAGCCTGATCCTGTGGTTCTGAGTCCAGTTTGGGGTGACAAAATTCATATTTGGAATAAAAATTTTTCAAGTGCTGGGCTAGACACTGCCAACTTTTCTCACCTTAGCTGGGCCTGCAGCTTCCTCTGCCTGGGCTGCAGGGCTGGAGCTCAGGCCCTGGCTGAGCAGGAGCTGGGGTCACCCTGCCAGGCTGGGCCAGCTCCTCTCCCACTGGGATCTGCCACAGACACTGAAAGAAAAACCAGCCTGGAAGCCTTTGGTAAGAAAGTGAGAGAATAAATGAGGAGAAAGCCAAATGCTTCCATCTGTGGCTGCTGGGGAAGTGAAATGCATGAGCCTTTAAAGGGATTACACTGTCAGCAGAGAGAACTGCTCTGAACATCTGCTGCAGTGCTGGTCAGGACCCAGGCTCTCCCTTGGAAGAAGAAACGAGTTTTGAGCTGCCAGGAGCTTCTGTGAGCCGTGGAGTTGAGTGTGAGTGGAGCTGGGGGCAGCTGGGGCTGGCTGTGCCCTGTGCCAGCCTGTGCAGCCACGCTGAGCCTGCCAGGAGCTGCCCTGCAGACGTTGTTCCAGCAGGCTGGGACATGAGAAGTGCCTGGCTGCTCCCCTTTGGGCTCAGCCCTGCTTGGAAAGGGCAGCAGGACAGCTGGGGTCAGCAGTGACACGTTTCAAAGGGGATCATCGTGAGGAAGAGTCTGCAGGGGATTTGGGGAGCTTAGTGCCAATCCCGTGAGGTTGCTCTGCCAGCACAGGAAATGCCAGATAAGCAAGCTGCCCTCCCATGCCCTGAGCTCATGCCCTGCTCTGGGAGCAGTCAGAGGCTGCTCAGCTGCTCTGGTTTGGCTGTGCCCCATGCCAAGCTGTACACTCCTGTCTCTGCAGGGGGATTTCCCTCTGCCTTGCTGCCTGCAGTGAGGCAGGGCTCAGGTCACACTGCCTGTGGCCAGGGGACAGCCTGTGGCACCCACACTGCCTGCATGGTCCATGACCCCTAAACAGACTTCCAGGGGTTCCTAGGGCTCACCTGTGGCAGCATGTCAGTGCCCTCTTCATGGGATATTCTGTGCAGAAAGGACCAAACTCCACGCTGGGGAGATGAATTTCAGAATGCCCCCATGCACAGGGGGCTGTAATGAGTGAGGGCTGCCCATTAACACCCCGTGGATATTCTGGATAAGGTTATTCAGCCTCTGATGGGGGCAGAAAGGGCAGGTGGACTAAAGGACAGAATCAGGATGTTACTTTTCCTTCCTTCACTTTACATGGGGGAAAAAAAGCCTCACCAGGCCTGTTTGGAAGGGTGGCAATGAAACTTTAGAAATTGACTTTATTTTGCAAGCCAAGATTAAGAAAGAAATTCCAGGAGGCATTGTCCTGGTGAAAAAAACCAACTTTCCATGTGCACAGTCCCTCTCAAGGCTTAGGATTCTGCTTTAGGCTCTCAGTGCTCTGATCAGCTCAGGGCAGCTGCTGAAGCAAGAAGTTTGGGTAACTTCTGCTGGCATTTGGCTTCCTGATCTTGGGTAATTATTTCAGAGTTCATCTGTTCTAGAATCTGAGCCCTCGTGGAGCTGAGTAATGTCTGGCAGTCTGCATCAGCATCTGTGTGTTTCCTTTGTGGTGGGGTGAGGAGGAAATGACAGCTTTGTTCCCGTTTTCCTGCCAAGGGTGATCACACTGCAGTCCTGATCGTGGCAGGCTCAGGCTCAGGAGCAGCAAAATCCTTCCTCTTCGTGGTTTTTTAACCCTGTTCTCTCCTCCCCTTTCACAGGCCTTAGAATCCAAGCTGGCTGCTTGCAGGAATTTTGCAAAGGACCAGGCATCACGGAAATCCTACATTTCAGGGAACGGCGGCAGCGCCGCGCTGGGCAGCGCCACAAAGTACCCCGGGCACACGTCCTTCTTTGACAAGGGGTGAGTCTGGCACAGCTGTGCCCAGCAGGGCTCTGCAGCTCTGCCCTGAGCCCCCACAGCCCTCCTGTGGGACAAACGGAGCAAGGGCTGGCTGCAGGGCTTTGGGGCAGCAGAGAAGCAGCGTGGGGTGGCAGTGCCACTCCTGCCCCATCTCCTGGTGGCTGTGCCAACCCCAGGCAGTGAGGAGTGAGCCCTCTGGGGCATCTCAGGGGCACAGGAGCGGTGCCCAAGCTGCAGGTGTGCTCTGGGGAGTGCAGAGCCGAGGGCAGGCAGGGATGGTCCCCGGGAGCAGGGAGGGAGTCCTGGTGCTCCCAGCCCTCCGGAGGGGAGGGATGAACCATCGCTGCTGGGATTGTGGCTCCTCCCTGCTCTGAGCCAGCTGGGAGGCAGGGATTGCTGTCCTGGGAACCAGGATCCTGTGTCGGCCGTGCTCAGAGCTCCCTCTGGGATGCTGGCAGAGCTTCTGCAGGAGAGATTTTGGGTTCCTCACAGCACAGGGCCCTGTGGGTGTACAAGGTGGAAAGCACAGAGTTCTCCAGTGGTGCTGAGGCAAACAGCCTCCATGCTCCCTCAGTGCAATTCAGTGCTGCTATCAGCCCTTCCTCAACCCTGCATTTATTTCAGGGAATGAAACCAGCTGGTTCCAGGCTGGAAGTGCCAGAGCAGCCAGCTGAGCTCCCCCATCCATCCTCCGTGGGGCTGTGTGGGGGACAAGCTGCACCTTAAAACCTGCCCCTGGTGACTGCTGCTTTTGGGAAGGGAGGATTCAGAGCCTTGGGGCCACGTGCAGATCAGCCTGTGGGCTGTGTGTGCTGCAGGGCTGGCGTGTGCCTCCCCCAGCAGAGCTCCTGCAGTTCCAGGGAGCAGGGCAGTGCTGGGGAGGGATTAGGGCAGCTCTGTGGCTATATTGAGGTGTGGTGTGACAATAAGCTGATTGCTCTCCGGGGTGGGGTCACTTTTAATCATGCAGATTGTCATCACACTCCTGATCCGGGCTGGCTGCCTGGAGGGGGAGCAGGCTGGGCTAGGTGTGGTGTGACAATAAGCTGATTGCTCTCCGGGGTGGGGTCACTTTTAATCATGCAGATTGTCATCACACTCCTGGAGGGGGGGCAGGCTGGGCTGGGGGGCTGAGGAAGCCTGGCAGGAGGGGCTGCACAGGGCTGGGGGTGGCAGTGGACAGGAACAGGCTGGAAGTGGTTCATGTGCTGGTCTGCAAGGTGCCAGGGATGCTGCAGGGCCCCAGTGTGCTGTCCCTGTCCCTGCAGCCCGTGTGCTGCCCCCAGGCTGTCCCCTCAGCCCCTCTGTGCCAGGGGGGCTGGCAGTGCCCGTGCTGTGCCCCAGGGCTGCTCTGCAAAGCCTGGCTTGGCCTGGCAGCTGGACTGGGGCAGCAGCCCTGGCCCGGGTGTGGGAGTAACCCTGACCCAGGTGTGGGAGTAACCCTGATCCAGGTGTGAACATAACCCTGATCCAGGAGTGTGTGTAACCCTGATCCAGGTGTGAACATAACCCTGCCCCAGCTGTGAGTGCAGCCCTGCCCCAGTCGACCCAGGTGTGAGTGCAGCCCTGCTCCAGATGTGACTCTGCCCCAGCTGTGAGTGCAGCCCTGCCCCAGCAGTGCTGGGTTGGGCAGAGGTAGCTCAGCCACACCATCACAGCTCCGTTTGTTTTCCTCCTCCCTCCATTTCACTGAAATGTTTGAGGTGTCTCCAGCTCTTGTCAAGCCCCTGCTTTAGGGGAGGCCTGGAGCACAGCAGGGCTTGCAGCAGAGCTGGGCTGCAGAGCTGGGGGAGGCAGGGTTTACCTGCTGGTTAAAACCTCAGCAGTGGCAGGTGTAAGATCAGTTTCCTGCAGATTTGTCCCTTCAGGAACAGGCAGGTTCTGTCCAGGTGCCAGGGAATGGCACAACAGCACCTGGGGATGGTCTCAGGGTGGATACTTGTATCTTGCTGTTGTAATTATTGTTAATTGGTTGTTAATGCCAGTCCAGTTTTGTCCAGGAAACAGAGCTGCTCTGGGCTCTGCAGGGCCCTGGCACTGCCAGCCTTGTTCCCTCCCTGCAGCCCTGGCTGCCAGGGTCCTCACAGCTGCTGTTTGTTCTTGGCTTTCTTGTCAATGCCTTGGCTTTGTTTCAATGGCAGCAGCTGGAGTTTCAGGTGAGCAGTGCTCACAGCAGTCAGAGGTGTCTGCACCGTTACCCACAGCCCTGACCAGAACTCCAGGCTGGGAGAGCCCCGTGTTCTCCAGCCCCTGACCCACCCCCGTGAGAGGTTTCCCTGGGAGGGGGGCTGTGCTGGCTCGGCTGCAGTGGTGTGTGCTGTGCTGTGCCCACTGTGCAGGGCTCACACAGGACAGCTTGGCTGAGCCCCTGTGCTTGGCCCCAGCTGCTGCCCCGAGGGCTGTGCTCAGGAATGTCATTTTTGTGTGCATAAACTTTCCCTTTCTCTCCACTAGGCGTGAGAAGGTGATATTCCCCACCCTGGTCATGGGTAAATGAATTCGTTTGCACTGATTGGCTGCATGTGCTGTAAGCTGGGCTTGGGGCAGCTCTGGGGCTCTGCTAACTGCACGAGGTAGTTGGTAGTGCCACACTAATGGGCCCTGACCAAACCTGAGGCTGCTCTTCCTCCTCACTTGAAATAAGCCTCTCTGCTGCTGTGACCTGTTCAGACATGAGCCTGAGTGCTGCTTGCTTTCTTCATCTGTTTAACACTCCAGTAAGTGCATGGAACTTTCCAGTTTGTGATGGAACTGGTCACAGCAGGGTGCAGGGGAAGCTTCTTGGATGGAGTTCATGTGGAAGGTTTGCCCTGGTTGGGATTTTCCTTCAGCATTTTGTGGTTCTTGACCTGCTGATGTGCAGTGGCGTGTCTGTGGCTGGCAGGAAAGCAAGGAAGGTGCCTGGGAGCCGGGAGGGGACAGTGTGGGTAGGGACAGCCGTGTCCCTGCTCCGTGTCACTGTCCCTGCCCAGCTGTGGCAGCTCCTGTGCAGGTCCAGGTGTCCAGGTGTGCTTTACCAGCTCCATCTCCCCTTCAGGCCAGGCTGGTCAGCCCCAGAAGAATCTGCCACTGAGGATTTGTTGGATACTTAGAGCTGAGGGAGTCTTGGGCATGAGGTGCTAAGTACAAAACACAGCTTGAAATGCAGATTAATGAGTCCAAATTAGTAATCAGGGCAGAGAGTGGTTGGCCATGGACACAAAGTCCATGGCCCTGCAGGGACAGGCAGTCAGAACCACCCCTGAGGAGCCACTGCAGGGACATTTCCAGCAGGAGTGCTGCTCCTGGCTGCTGGGGCCTGCAGCTCCTCCCAGGACAGGTGTCAGAGCACAGTGGCAAAGCTGCTGGGGCTGCTGTGCCACCCCTGGGAGGGCAGGTGCTGCACTGCTCCAGAGGACGCTGGGGAAGGGGAGCCTCTGGGTCCTGGGGCTCAGCACCAGGAGCTCCCCTGCAGCCTGGTGGGGAGTGGGGGGACACAGAGGCAGCTCTGCTGGGCTGTGCCACTGCTGAGTGTGAGTGTGCCCTCCTGGCACAGGGACACGGGGCTGTGCCTTGTCTATGGCACAGGGACACGAGGGCTGTGTCTGGCTCCAGCACAGGGCACTGAGTGCCAGGGCAGGGACAGCTGGGGCCAGCCCTGACCCGTGCCCTGGCCCTGCACAGCCCCTGGGTGACCCCCAGCAGGCTCAGGCTCTGCAGCCCCCCATCCTCCTGGCACAGTCACCTCGGCCAGGCCATGGCACCGAGCTGGGGCCCGTCCTGCCCTGCTCCCAGAACTGGGGAGGGAGGGAGGGGCAGGTCAGTTCAGTGCCAGGCTGCTCCCCTAACGGGCTGTCTCTTGTCCCCAGGGCAGTGAACGGCTTTGACCAAGGGCCCCCCGGCCTGGGGGGCTCCCGCCCGTCCTCGGCGCCGGGAATGCTCCCCCTGAGCGTATGAGCCCCCAGGGCTTGGACTCGGATGCTTTTCTCAGCCCAGCTCGAGAAGAACTGCTCCTGATTCCGCCCCCTTCCCACTGGAACATGACCCTGAGAGGAGACCCCGAGCCCACGGCCCTCCATGTCCTGTCAATACAGTTTGTTTTCTGCTGTCGCTGTAGTGGACGTTCTCTGCCCCGGCCCCACCAGCTGCCACCCTCTGCTGTGCTTGGGACACCGAGTGAGTCCTGCTGTGCTTGGGACACCGAGTGAGTCCTGCTGTGCCTGGGGACAGGCCCAGCCTCGCCCCCTTGGCTTTCCCTCTCCTCTCAGTCTGACAGAGCCTTGGCTGCTCTGACAGCTCCCCTGTCCCTGTCCCTGTCCTGCCAGGCCCTGCAGCTGCTGCTCTCAGACCTGTGGAGGTGCCCTGGGGTGGCCAGCGGTGGCCCTGGGGCCGTTGGCACTCGGGAGCCAGCCCCAGGTGCTGTCTCAGGGGCAGCTGCACCCGGGGCACTCAGAGCAGGGCTGGGTGAGCAGCTCCATCCCTGCTGGACACCCTGGGGTGGCCAGCGGTGGCCCTGGGGCCGTTGGCACTCAGGAGCCAGCCCCAGGTGCTGTCTCAGGGGCAGCTGCACCCGGGGCACTCAGAGCAGGGCTGGGTGAGCAGCTCCATCCCTGCTGGACGCTGGACACACACACAGAGCCAGGCTCTGTGCCCACCCCAGCCCCCAGGTGCCTTGGCAGGCCTGGCACGGCTGAGCTGTTCTCCCTGGGCTCTGCCCTGTGCAGGTGGCAGTGCTGGGGCAGGGGCTGTGCCCTCAGCTGTCCCCAGGGCTGTCCCTCTGCTCCCTGCTGGACTCGGCCCCCGTCCCTCACCCCACACACAGCCACCCCGTGGGAGCTTTAGGAGCCCCCAGAACCCCCTGCCCATCTCCCCTGTGCTGTAGGACTGGGCTGTGCAGCCTCACCAAGGGCTGCTCTGGCACTTTGGGGCGGCTGAACCTTGTGGGTCTTTCAAGCAACACATCTGTGTGGTTTCTCTGTCCATGTGCCTCAGAGTCAGTGGATTTTTATTCTGAACCAGCAAATGGAGCCAGGGTTGGAGCTGAGGGTTCAGCAGTTGTTGGTCAGGGGCTCTGCAGCTCCCAGGTGGTTGAGTTACAGATGCTGAGGAAAAAAACCCCACTGGCCCAGCAGTGGAGGTGGGATTGTCCCTTTGCCATTAGGGTTTGTATGGTCCTTCCTTCCTGTGCATCCTCTGCTGCATTTGACTGTTTACATTTGTTTTATTGTACATAGATTTGTAAACATAATACCTTTGCCTGAGGTCTTTGTACATAACTTGGGCTTTGTAGCTTTATTTATTCAGCCTCTCTCTGGCATGTTTCCATAGGATGTACCGTTCCACCCTGGTGCCACTGACATGATGTGGTTTCAAAAGAATGAAAACAAATGAGAGTAATCTTCCAAAAATAAAGTTCTTTTAATGTGGAATCAGTGGATTTTGCAGAACCAGTGGCCGTGGCTCTTGCTTTGTCCAGCAGGGTTTCCTGCCAAGCCCCGGGGAGGGGGGACAGTGTTGAGGCAGTGCCACGTACCCCACACCCCTTCCCTTGGGAATGTCGCTCAGTTTGGGCACAGGGGAAGGCACTGCTGGGGCCATCCCAGCCTCTGCTGCTGCCACTGAGGGGGGGACACGATATTTCCCTTGGGGACGTGTTGGCAGCCTCCAGCTGAGCCTTCCGGGGGGTTTTGCTTCCTTAGAGCAGCTGGAAGAGTTTCCTGTGCACAGCAGCCGGGCTGGGGCCCCTCCTGGGCTGTTCTATCCATCCAGGGCTGCTCCATCCCTTCCCGGGCTGCTCCATCCCCTTCCCAGGGCTGCTCCATCCCCTCCCGAGCTGCTCCATCCCTTGCCGGGCTGCTCCATCCCTTCCCAGGGCTGCTCCATCCCCTCCCAGGGGCTGCTCCGTCCCTTCCCGGGCTGCTCCGTCCCTTCCCGGGCTGCTCCGTCCCCTCCCGGGCTGCTCCATCCCTTTCCCGGGCTGCTCCATCCCTTTCCCGGGCTGCTCCATCCCTTTCCCGGGCTGCTCCATCCCTTTCCCGAGCTGCTCCATCCCTTCCCAGGCTGCTCCATCCCCTCCCGTGCCCGGGGCTGTGCCTGTCTCCTGTCCTGGGGGCTCTGGAGCCATGTCCCTGTCCTGCCCTGTCCATCCCCGGGGCTGTGCCCGTGTCCTGCCCTGTCCTGGGGGCCCTGGCCCCGCTCCAGGGCAGGTTCTGCACCCCAAGACCCCAAAATGTGGGATGTGACGGCTCAGGCAGGAGCCCAGAGCCCAGTGCCACGGCACTGAGTGGCAGCAGCAGAGCTCAGAGTTGCTTTGTGCTCCAGCTGGGCCCTGCCAGTGGCATTCAGAGGCAAAGGCTCAGCTCGGACCAAGCCATTGATGCTGTATTTAGGTCAAAATAAAAGGGAAAAAAAAAAAGCAAGCAAACAAAACAGGAAGAAGGGAAAAGGCAGCTTCCAGTCATATCTCGTTTATTAAGGTCTATGCCAGCCTCGGGAGAGCTCTTCCAGTAAGTAAACAGAGCAGGCGGCCGCATCTATAATGAATAAATTTATTGTCTTACAAAAATCATTGTCTAGAAATATGGGTATACAAGAAAACAAGATATTTGCAGTCAGACGCCTGGTGGTCAACAGCCAGTTTGATTAAAAATATCCAAACACACACAACAAAACCTTTGCGACAGATGTTAAAGCTTTTAACCAAAAAGGGAAATCCATGGGTTTTGAGCATGTGGCAGAGGAAGTTTCCTAGTTAACACTGATTCATTGTCACTAATATCAATAATACCACTTGGACTAGAGAGGTACATGATATGAAGCACAGTCAAAATTAATACATTAAATCATTGTTATATAGGCAAATTATATATGTAACGTTGTCTTAGTACTGTAGTGTCTAAGGCACTTTCTGTAATGTCAGTTTTCAGCTATTTAAACAAAAAGAACGCTAACTACTCACTGTAATACTGCTCAAAATAAAAAAAAAAAACCAACAAAACAACAACAACAAAAAAAAAAGGATTCACATCCACTGGCATGTTAACTGTAGGCAGGCAACATCCATCCATCCAGGGCAGGAGCCCCGAGCCCGGCCCCACAGGAGCAGGGCCCAGAGCCTCCCAGGGCCTCACATTAATAAATTAGTTGTGCCTTGCTGTGTTTCTTTCCCAGCGGTGCTCACACACCCAGGCCGGGTGCCTGCAGGGGGCTCTGGGGCCGGGGACCCTCCTGGGTGTGCCTGGACTGCATGGACACGAGGGGATGGAGCGGGCGCTGAGAACACTTCAAATGGGATTGCAGGATAAAAACGGACACTAGCACTCATCCCTACACTTCCCTCTAACACTTCCCAAGGCCGTTTTTCACAGTTCACTCAGGGGGGTGTGTGCGGATCACAATTGGGAGAAAAGAAAGAAACGGGAGCGGTTTGGTCTTCACTGATCCGAGAGGCTGCGGCCAGCCCGGAGCCTGAAGGATGCTGCTGGACACAAGGCATGCACAGCCACGGCGAGGGGTCTGTCCTGGCCCCCCACCCGCTGGGAATGACGCTTCTGGATTGATAAAAAAAAGTTTCATCCTTCACATGATGCTTTATAAAATGGCTTTACAATGAGTATCTGGAAAAGAGATGCACTGAACAGAGACGATCCCGGTTGTTTACTATATATAAAAAAGCAGTTGTACCTATATCTGAAGCAGGGTACAGTGTGGTGAGGCTGGAGAGCCTTAAGACATGGTTGACCTATGATAAGGAACCTTGTAGCACATGCCGAGGGTCGTAAGGCAGCTTTGCGGCCACAAGGCAGTTCCGAGGGCAGGGCAGGGCGCTGGGGCGCTCCCGCGGGGCTGGAAAGGTCTCTGCATGCAGGCGGGGCCGGCGCTACTCGGCGGGGGCGGCGGGCGCCTCGTTCACGTCGCTGCCTTTGCTCTCGGCGTCGTCGTCCGACAGCTCCAGCGAGGCGCCCTCGATGTGCAGCTGCCGCCGGCCCGAGCGGCTCGAGGAGAAGGTGATGGGTCCCCCCCTCCTGGAACGAGAGCAGCGCTGGGGGAGGCTCCTGCACCGGGCAGGGGCTGGGCTGGGCTTGGGATGGGATGGGATGGGATGGGATGGGATGGGATGGGATGGGATGGGATGGGATCTTAAAGCTCAGCCAACCCCACCCCTGCCATGGCAGGGACATCTCCCACTGTCCCAGGCTGCTCCCAGCCCTGTCCAGCCTGGCCTTGGGCACTGCCAGGGATCCAGGGGCAGCCCCAGCTGCTCTGGGCACCCTGTGCCAGGCCTGCCCACCCTCCCAGGGAAGGAGTCCTTCCCAGTATCCCATCCATCCCTGCACTGTCAGGAATATCCCTGTGGAATACCTGGCAGATTCCTTGCTCTCACCACCAGGCTCCAGTTCGAGCCATCCCCTAATCCCAGCAGCTCCCCAGCTCCCAGGGGGGTCTGTGGGCTCGGAGGGGCTCGGGTGTTCCAGGGGCACTGACCTTAGCCTGTTTTTGAGGGTGCTGACCTCCCTGCTCAGCCCCTCGTTGGCCTCTGTGGCATCGTCCAGCTCTCGCTGCAGCTTGCGCCGCGATGCGTTGGCGCGCGTGGCCTCCTCCTCTGCCTCCTCCAGCTGCCGCTTCAGCTGCTTCATCCTGGCATTGGCCTTCTCCATCTGCAACCAAGCCAGCACTGGGGTCACCCTGCAGCACGGCCCCAACTGGGGATGCAGCACAGCCCCAACCAGGGATGCAGCACAGCCCTGCCCAGGGATGCAGCACACTCATGCAGGCTCCAGCCTGGACCCAGAACACCACGGAGCTCCCGGCCCTGGGAGAGCAGGGTGGGAACAGCCCATCCCAGCAGAGCTCACACACACAGGGAGAATCCCTGCTGGGCTTTCCCTGCTGGTTTCATCACCACTCTAACTCCCTTTCCATTAGAGTTCTGTTCCCAAGCCCTTCCCACGCAGGAGGTTTTCCTGAGCCCCCACCCACCTGCTCCTTGTACTGGTCCGCGTGGCGCCGCTCGTCCTCCACCTGCATGAACACCTCCTTCAGCTTCTTCTCCGTGCGCCGCACCAGCTTGTTGGCAGCTGCTCTTTCCCTGCAAGAGCCAAGGCATCGC